CTCCAGTACTTGAATCTATGAGGGACAAGTACAAACCATACCAAAACAATAGAAAGAAGGCCTTTGACAGATTATAAATTTCCAATGATAGGGATATAAATCAACTATAGGATGTTTACATGACAAAGAAAAAGTGAGGAATCGTCTTAATGGGTATAGATTTTAAAAACATAATACTGAATAAAAACAGGATGTCACAAAGCAATGCATGACTCTGTGCCAAAGGAGAGCCCAGAGGTGTCAGGTGCTGACTGGAAAGCTTAATGAGCCAACTAGAGGATGGCAACCGAGCCCAGGGGTTTGCCCACAGCAACTAAAATCAGAAAGATTAAGGAGTTAAAATAATCTGACACCCATAACCTCTAGGAACTGGGCACCCAGATCTCTTGTGAGCAGGGCCCACACTCAGGGGAACTGTTGAGCTGCTTAAAAATAGAATTAAAGGAAGCCCCTGGTGAAAGTGGACAGAGGAAAGATGCACAAAATCTAAGCAACAAGCAACCTCCACTTTAAACATTGCCCAAAAGCAACAAAGATGGTGCTCTGAGCATTCAGAAACATTATCTTGTGCCTCCCCTTTTTAAGAGTTTTTGAAGACTAATTTTACCAAAAAATTAAGCAACAGAAATGTATCTAGGTCAACTCCCATACAAAGCTATTATAAGTAGAAAAAAAGAATAACATTCCTACAGATAGTAAAACCATGCCAAAAGAAGAGATTAAAACAGCGTTTCAAAATGAGAGTTGTTGTTAATAAAATGATATAAAACATGAAAGAAGAGAAGAAATCCAAGTTAGAAAAACTCAGATATGGGATAAAAGAAATCAGAAAAGACTAGAAATTATAAAGAAAATGAAGTTTAAACTAGAATGAACATAGAACAAATGGAAACAATAGACAGGACCTTCAGAGAAATCAAAGATGAAAGGAGGAAGATATTTAATGATAAGACACAAAGACAGTGTGGGTTACAACCCAGTGAGGGCACTGGTTAGTGTCCACGGGGTCCTGGATTCCACCCTAGCAATCAGCACATCCACACAAAGAAGAGACAGAAAGGAATTCAAAGTGGCATAAAGTATCAAACAGGCAATGAAGTTTCAATATATGGGCAAGAAGAAATCCCTAAAGAAACCCAAAACAAGGAAATTGAAGAAATAAAAAGCCTTTCCTTCAATTAGGAAATGCATATACTTGAAAGATCACTGCATGCCTGAGAGTACGAACATTCAGTAATAAACACTGAAATATGATCTGCTTATATCATTAACTTTCACAGTAAACAAAAAGAAAAGTATCTTTTGAAATGCTTGTCAAACAGAACAAGGGACTTGCAATGAAAAAGAAAACTAGATCAACATTAGCCTTCTAATTTAATTTTCATTTTTTAAAAAATCTGTTTATTTTTATTTTATGTGTATGTGTTTTGCCTGCATGCACATCTGTGCACCAGGTGTGGGCCTGGTGCCCAGGGAGATCAGAAGAGGGCCTCAAAACCCCTGGAATTGGAGTTACAGACTGTTGTGAACTGCCTGATTCAGGTTCTGAGAACCAAACCTGGGTCATTTGCAACCCCACATTAGTTTTGGTTTTTTTTTCTTTTCTTTTTTTTTTTTTTTAGTAATTCAGAGTTTTGAGAAAAGAAATAGTATACCAAGGATTTTTTGGAGCATATTTAGGTGTGTGTGTGTGTGTGTGTGTGTGTGTGTGTGTGTGTGTTGATACACACATCGATGAGCATGCCTGGAAGCCAGAGGAAGACATCTGGGGTCCTGCTCTCTCATTCGAGTGACATCCACAGGAGAGGTGGGATGTCACACAGTTGGTGACTGTGTAGGTATTTTAAACAATGGCAGTGTTCTCAGATCATATAGGTCAATGCTTTTAAAAGGTGGAGAAATGGGAAAACTATATGCAAAAAAAACCAATCTTAACTGCTCTCAATAAATGTGAACTACATGTAATAAGAAATAATAAATATACTGGAATTGATATTATGGTTAGTTAGTGTGTGGTAAGGGGCAGGCACATGGGAATTTATAGGCTATTTAGTTCTATTCATCACTTTGGCAATTAGAACTTTACAGAAAAGTAAGACACCAACCAAGAAACAAAAGCTATTAAGAAAAATACCTATAGTTTGGGATTTGAATTGGAAGTGATACTATGAACACATTAGATTTATGTTAAACATTATACATATAATTGTATATGCATGTGTTTTTGTTTTTAATCTTTGTCTATTAAGAAGCTAAGATTGACCATTAGTATAATTAGGATTCTCAAGCACCAAGGCTTTAGTCTTAATATAGGAATTGTCACACACACACACAGACACACACCACACACAGACACACACACACACACAGGAGAGAGAGAGAGAGAGAGAGAGAGAGAGAGAGAGAGAGAGAGAGAGAGAACCTTAGATTTCTAAGAAAGTGACTGATTTCAAGTCCCAAGAGAGTACAAGATACGGCTAGAATATCTAGCTAGTCCCATTACTGAGGAAGTTGCCCAGGGTTATCTGAGCTCATTGTCAAATTGCAAAGGAAGTTCTGACCTTCTGGCCAAAAAGGGGGTTATTTGAGCTTCAATCGGATAATGGTTGCAATTGACTGAAATCTCATGTTTAAATCATGACTTAGTATCCTTTTAAAGAAAATGATTACTTTGGGATGATAATAGAAAAGCAATGCAGTCTCCTAAAATTGACAAGTGAAGAATAAAGCATGTGTTTTGATTCTTCATATTGAATTAGGTACTATAGAAAAATATTCAAATAAGATAGAGGGATAAGGTCAAATAGGCTTCAATTAATGAATGATAAGTTGGTAAGTTGGAATATGCCAATGATATACCTCCCAATAAGTTGATACCTCTCACCATGAAGCATCGACAGCTGCTAAAATTACACAGAGGACAGGGAGGGAGAGGGAGAGAGACAGAGACAGAGACAGAGAGGGAGAGAGACAGACAGAGAGACAGACAGAGAGAGAGAGAGAGAGAGAGAGAGAGAGAGAGAGAGAGAGAGAGAGAGAGAAAGGAATCAAATCAGAGTCTCCAAGCAGCTCTGGATTAGGTTCAAATTCTGAGAAACCACAGAGCTCAGAAGAAACATGTTTAATTGCACCACAGGTATACATGAAGTCAGGATATCCCAGGCTGTGGGAAGTGTTACCAGGACAAATTTCACTGCTAAGTTATATGGGAAAGGAAACAATGAAATCTAAGTTGTGGACTATAATGGACCTGGGAGACAGATCAGAAATGTAAAAAGAGGGCAAGAAGATAGTTATGCTAAAACTGTAAAAAAAAAGTGAAGAAACAATTACTAGAAAGTTTAGACATTCTCTTTTGCGGGTGGGTAAAAATGCTGATTATAAGAAGCACATAGATGGAATATCCGGGGAGGCTAATTATCTGTTCTTTACAGAGGAGTTTACCTTTCAAAAATGGAAAACCATGCATGTACTTTGTGTGGCTTCAACACCTGCTTTGTTTTGCCCAGAAATGGTTTTTAAAATTGCTAACAAAATAGCTACAACTTGCTTTTCGATCCATATGAGTGAATATGGAAACACGAAATTCTGCAAAAACAGTATTCATTAAGTTCATTTCTCCTTCTAGGGAGTTGGTGAAAATACAACTGGGGCAGAGAAAGCCAGAAGGTGCTTCCAGTTTATCTGCTATGATTTAATTTCACAAAAGAAGACACAAATACATCAAGATCTTAACAATGATCCATTGGGGACATTATAAGCAGATGTGTGCATACTATTCTCTAAGTCTTTCTCTTTGAGTTCTAAATATTTTATCCTGCACATTCATATAAAAAACAATGCAATTCTCGGAAAATACTTTTGCTACTGATATGAGATAGCATATAAATCAAAAATACAATCACTGGATTAGACTGGATGACATACTTAACAGAAAAAAAAATAGTGTTATCCTTCTTGGTGAATTAGTTCCTACTAAGAGAAAGAAAACTTGACACTCAACTACATAACTATTATGTACTCAGAAAACAGACTAAATATTTTCTTTCTGCTGAGTCTGAAAACCAAATACATAGTTTGTAAAAGCAGGCATCAGTTCCTTGGTTTGCAGGATTGGTGAGAAAGTTAATTGAGATCCAGGTGAAATGAAAGGGGTGCTACTGATACTTTCCTATCTGGGTTGTTGAGATCAGGAATCCTTTCACCTAATGTCTGTATTAGTAGGACTGTGTGTGTCTGTTATCATCAGGTAGGAAAAAATCATTATTACTGTGACACACTAATAGTAATTGGTCATACAACATTTTCTCCCTATATGGCCTCAGTGATGTGATGGAGAATGTACTACTGTGTATGTTTAACTTATTGACTGTTAAATAAAATACTGTTTGGCCAATGAGACAGCAAGTTAGACGGAACTAGGAGGCAAAGAGGATTCTGGGAAATGTAGTAGAGAAGTGCTGATCCAGGCAGGAAATGACATAGCAAGGAGACTCATATTTAAGCGAAGGAGAACCAGGAAGGGCCCCCTTTTCCCCTCCGCTCCTGCTCCAGCGGCAGGATGTAATCCACCGGCAAGGAGGGACTCCAATAAGGCGTCCAATAAGATAAGTCTTATAAAATATATAGATTTATGATAATTGAGACTGAGCTGACAGATGAGGAATCCTAGTCATTGGCCAAGCAGCTTTGAACCTAATACAAGTTTCTGTGTATTCATTTGGGCCCTAACTCGGGTGGGCGGCTTACAAAAAGCACACACGTGGCGGTGGGGCTCAGGCAGCTTTTGGTGGAAAGATTTATCGTAACAGTGATGTCTGCCATAATAGAGAATGTCATACACAAACTACTTTGTCTCTATAAACACCATTAGAATATGAAAAGGAAAGCATAACCAAATTCTGACCCCCCTGCCACCACCCCACCTCATCCCTCCACCCTCCACAAGCCAATCTCGTTCTTGGTGCCTCACAGAGCATCAGGGGCTCTTGCACATTTACCAGGCAGGTAGCTGCATAGTCTCTCCATCGCCACCTGGACTGAGGAGTTGTGTACTTCAGCCAGCTGCTCTATCACAGATACCACCACCACACAGCCTGCAGGGAGCAGAAGAGCATGTCAGCAGGTCACATGGAGCTGGAGGGTGTAGGGAAGGAAAGTAGAAAGATTAGGTCCTTTAGGACACCAACAGAGTCACAAAACTTCCCTTGCTTTTGTCCTTAAACATCTGAAACAAACCTAGACGCACTGGGATTTACAGTGTAATGAGAAGGCTGGGGGTTGGGGACTCAGAAAGCCAGGGGTTGTCAGAGTGGCTTCACCATTTGTGAGCTATGAGAGCTTGGGGGAAGTAATTAATCTGGCTTAAATCCCAGAGAGATTAAGAGGAAGAGATGATGCTTAAATGAGATAGGGCAAGGAAAGTTGTACATAATACATAGGTACTAGCTTCTCTAATCTCTACTTGCTCCTCAGCAGTAGGTGTCTTAGTTGTTGGTACATCATTCCTATCCCAGAAAATTGTGGCCTGTGACCTAAAGTCAGATTTATAATTTTGAAATAGTAGTAGAAATTTCCCAGAAGACCTGGGATCAAGTCCTGCCTGACTTTACAATCTTGGACTCAACATCTTCCCTTTTTAAGCTTTGGTTTCCTTATAAAGCAGGAAATAAGATGTTTTCTACAGTGCCACTATGACAATCAGCTCAATGATGATGTAACTGAGTGTAACTTTGGAATACAACACCCCATGAAACATTTCAGACTACATACAAAGCTCATAGTGAAAATTGTGAACCAAACAAGTCCAGAAGAGAACTTGAGCACATTAGGAATATATTCTTTCCCTTACTTTGGTATAGGATAAGTATTACTCCTCAAGGTGGCTAGGCTCACATTTCTTGAAGGTTCTGTTACTTGCCTCAATCTACTGAGCTGCTGGAAGGGCACAAACATTCTTTTCCCATAAGGAAGAGACTCCTTCATAGAAAATTATTGTCTTGGCCCAAGATCTGTAAGTGTGGAAGAACTTGCTAGACTTCATTCTCTTAGAAAAGTGGGCACTTGTTAGAAGATTTGCAGTGCAGAGCTTCATATGAAGAAGTTAACTAGAAGTGAGACCGAGAAAATCAGCAAGTGGGGCCCCCAATTTACATACTAGTGTCACTATAGCCAAAGCCTCTGGAAGAAGGTGAGCAATGCCATTTGGCATTTCTATACAAAAAGAAAGAAAACCTTCTACAAAACGAGACGGTATCATGAAGAATTGAGAGACACCCACCTCTCTAGATTCTGAAGTAACTGATAGCTCTTTGCTTACAATTGCTCTGTCTCCTCTGACTGGGGAGGTGGTCCTCACTAGACTTGACTACTGAGGCCTGTGCAACTACCATATTCCTGGCCTGACAGAACCTACTTGCTGGTATGTTTAGTAACATCAATCATCAAGACTGACTGACTGTATTTTTTAACAAATTCACAGCCCTGTAGGGTTTAGTAGCTGATGCCAATTAATATCCTATGGCCTAAAAGCATTTTCATGTGTATTTGCTTTGTTTTAAAAATATAAATGCAATTCAATCTCATTTTAGAAAACAGTGAAGACATGAAACAGGATAGCAAGATAATAAGTCACTCAACTTACCTGGTATGACCAACTGCACTTCTTTTCTTTATATCAAGCATATTTTAAAAATTATAAAATTCAAATGGAAAATGACAAGCAGTTTTACTGCAGTGTTGTAAGAGGCTGCAGTGCAGTTGAAAAGGGAAAGGCTTTGAATAAAACAAAACCCAAGGTTCAATTACTGAATCAGACAGGCATGGTATGTACTCATACTCATATGTGGATTTTAGACATAGAGTAAAGGATTGCCAGCCTGCAGCCCAGGCTGCTGGAGAGGCTGGGAAACAAGGAGGGCCTTAAGAGAGACATACATGGTCCCCTGGAGAGGGGGAAAGGGACAAGATCTGAGAAAATTGGGAGCATGTGGGGAGGGGGGAAGGAACTAGGAGAATGAGACGGGAAGAAGAGGAGGGTTGAGGAAGACATGATGGGACAGGGAGGTTGAGTTGGGGGAAGAATAGAAGAGAGCAAGATAAGAGATAATATAATAGAGGGAGACATTATAAGTTCAAAGAGAAATCAGACACTAGGAGGAAATGTCTGGAGAGCTACAAAGATGACACCAACCAACAATCTAAGCAACAGAGGAGAGGCTACCTTAAATGCCCTCTCCTGATAATGAGATTGAAGACTAATTCATATGCCATCGCATAGCCCTCATCCAGCAGCTGGTGGAAGTAGAAGCAGACACCCACAGCTAATCCTTGAACTGATCTGAAATCCAGATGCAGAGGAGGACGACTGATGAGCAAAGGGGTCCAGACCCCTTGAATGTGGGTGTCAGTGAGGAGATCTTGGAAATCTATGGAGCCTCTTGTAGTGGATCAGTATTTATAGCTACCATAGGAATGGACTTAAGAAGCCCATCCCACATGGAGGGATACTCCCTGAGCCTAGACACAAGGGGGTTGGCCTAGGTCCTATCCCAAAGAATATGAAAGACTTTGAAGACCCCCCTATGGAAGGCCTCACCCTTCCTGGGAAGCAGAAAGGGTATGGGATGGGTAGGGCATTAGTTGGGGGAGCAGGGGAGGAGGGAGGGGAGATGGACCTGGGATTGACATGTAAAATAATTTTCTTGCTAAAAAATAAAAAAGGAAATGGTAGCCATGAATAGAAGATCAGATGTTCAGGAAAATAAAGAAATTAATATGAGGAACAAAATTCTAAATGGAGGCCAAAGCAGACCCATGAAATGGGCGTGGGACGTGAGGCATGAACATAGCAGCTGAGACACTTGGTGACCCTGAAGCCTGTGGACACTTTTTCACAGTGAGAGCTCAAGCCTGCAGTGCAGGTTTAATTGGCCTTGTCATTAAAATGAGCAAAAACAACCTCTCTAGAGTATCCGAACAAAAATTTGAGTTCAAGGACGTTGGGGAATGCTCTACACATATTATAACAGCGATGAGGGAGATTCTGAAAGGAACACCAAGGCAGATTTCGCCATCTGTACATCAGAAGGTAGAAGCTAACTGCTAAAGATACTGGAGAAATGTCCCCATGGAAACCCTGTGACCTCAATAATTCTCTTGGCAACTGCTCAGGACAGTGGGAAAATCCTCAAATGGGAAGGATTCAGAACTGTGGTGCCCACTCACCCTTCCAGATGCAAATTATTTAAAGCCGCATCTTGGCATGACAGAATGGGTCAAATAATGTCAGAGTTCTGGTGTAGGGACAGAGAGAGTGAACAATGAAGCCAATGAGGTCTGCTGAGTACCTGGTCAACTGCAGGTACCATGCAAGCGGTAGAAAGAGAGATGACCGAAGGCAGATGAGGACTCTGATAGTTAACAGGTTTGAGAGATGAATAGATGACAGAGGTGACAGCTGATAGATTTAATAGGTTGGTGACAGATGAATGTTTGGTGATAGATGATAATTTTTGAAATGTATTTTAATTCTTTGGGAATCTCACACATGTATACAATGTATTTTGATTATAAAAAAACCCCAAATACTGAATCGGTCATTGGCAACTGCTGTGACTTTGAATGGACTGTCAACCACCTGAAACTTCATTCTTGAGTTTAGAGTAGACTCCTCATTCCTTAAGAGTGGAGTGGGTCTCCCTCTGTCTTTGAATGATGTACCTTTGAATGATTAACAAAATAGGGACAAGGATTGTTTACTGCCTTGATGTGAGCCTATTCAGGAGCTTGTCAGGAACATTTGGTCACCAGTTGCTGGGGGTTCTACTGAGGATGGGCTCATGGCTACTTCTACAGCTGCTTCTTAGCTCTACTATCTTATTGGTCTATTTCAGTCCCCACTTCTGGACAACAGGTAGCTAGCTTCCTTTGAGCCAAATAGCAGATTCTATTGGAAACATGCATAACATGCAGCTCCAAATTAAACCAGCATTCAGTGAAGTACAGCCTAGGAGACAGCTTTGAATCTCTTCCTGTGGCAGCTCATCAGGGAGCTACACCGATTGATGCCCCGGTTGACTCAAAGTGGGGTGACATTAGGAGGCTTGGTACTGTCACCAAGCAGAGATTCCATTAGGAATTGCATTCAGTACCTAGCCTTTTGCTATTATGATTCCGGATACCTTAAATATAAAGAAATTCCATTATTACTTCACATATAATTTGCTGAGGTTTTCATGAAAAAAAAAACATTTTAAGTATGAATCCTTCAGCAGATGCAAAGGAACATGGGTGATTTTCATGACAGGTGGACACGGAGTACGTAAAGTTAGTTCTGGACCCACTGTGAGAGTAGGATAATATTTATGAAAGGAATAAGGCTAAAATCTGTCTTGACAGGATTTTCTTGTTAAAAATAAGATAATAGGAGAGCATAAAAACATTTGTGAGTTGTCATGTTACCTTGGTTTCCCTTAAGACACCACCATTCTTTGAGATATTGAACATTAAGAGGGATGAGAAATTAGCATGTTAGTCTCCTCCAATAAATCTATATCATGAGGTAAGCTCATTTTACTCCCACCTCTTACTCAAAAGGCTCTGGTTTTAAAAGCTGTTTTCCCCTTGGTGGGAGTGTGAACTTGTAAGACCACTCTGGAAATCAGTATGGCGGTTGCTCAGAAAAATGGGAATCAATCTACCTCAAGATCCAGCCATTCCTCTCTTGAGTATATACCCAAATAGTGCATGTTCATACAACAAGGACATATGTTCAACCACATTCATAGCAGCATTGTTTGTAATAGCCAGAACCTGGAAGCAACCTATATGCCCCTCAACTGAAGAATGGATAGAGAAAATGTGGTACATTTATACAATGGAGTACTACTCAGCAGAAAAAAGCAATGGAATCTTGACATTCTCAGGCAAATGGATGGAACTAGAAGAAACCATCCTGAGTGAGGTAACCCAGTCACAAAAAGACAAACATGGTATGTAAAGAGGAGTAGAAGAGAGGAAATGGAGGAGCAGAAATATTGAGTCGGGGAAAGAATAGAGGAGAGAGAGCAGGATGAGAGATACCATATTAGAGAGA